AGCCTCAGAATTGACAGAGCATCAGACCCGATGGGGATCTAGGCGTTCTCCCTCGTTTTCTTACTCATCAGCGCTAATTTTAAAATATACACGGAGCAGCCAATTCCACTCTGACTCTCAACTCCCTTTAGGGAAGTCCCTTAATTACTGTTTACTCTTAACATTGGACAATCAACACATGAGCAAAGACACAGGCAATAAGCTAACCACACTGGGATTGCACAGAGCAGTATTATAAATGGCACACAATCCTGTGCCGGCTTTCGGCAGGAAAGGCTGCTGCTGACGCTGGGCTGAGAGAGGTGCGGGACCCGGCTACCTGAGGGGGATTCCCAGGGAAGACGCTTCCGTCACAGGATTCACAGGTACCAACTCTTGCTGGGGAATCCACCTGCTTGACAACCCCAGTGCAATGGGGAGATGGGAGAGAGAGTCCGTCTCTGGTCTTTTCCTCTCTGTGCAGTACTTAAACATCCCAAGGACCTTGCCACAGTGGATACATTTGCTCCAGTATCACTGGTCCTCCTCCACACTGGCCAAAATCTATTGTTTCTGTGCATACCATCTCTCCCTCCCTCGACTGCTGGTCTCCAGCCTGAAAGAGGCTGCATTTCAGTGGCCCAGGGCATCCTTCTGGAGAAAAGATGTTAGTAGAGGTAGAACACAAGGCCAAATGCTGAGGCTGTGGCCCATGGTTTCCTCAAACCCCACGGAGGCACGGTTCCCCTTGGAGTCAGAACGGAGTAAAGCACTCAGGAGCTCTGTGTGTTAGTGGCCAGACATGGTCACCTCCTCCTCTGCATTTGAGGGCCCTAGCTGTTTAGGGGGAGGAGGCTGGTCCTAGACCTTAATTTTCTGGGACATGCAGGGTATGTCTAGACTGCATCCCTCTGTCGGCAGAGGGATGCAGATTACGCAGGTCGACATTGCAAATGAGGCAGGGATTTAAATATCCCGCGCCTAATCTGCATAAAAATGGCAGCTGCGTTTTGCCGACTCAGCACTTTGTTGGCAAAAAGCGGCAGTCTAGAGGGGGATCTGTCGAGAAAGAAAGCCTTTTTCCACAGATCCCTTCTGCCTCCTTTGCAATGTTGACCTGCCTAATCTGCATCTCTCTGCCAACAGAGGGATGCAGTCTAGACATACCTGTAGAGAGGCAAGGGCTGGAATATTTAGAAGACATTTTTTCAGCCTGGGCAGGACAGCCCGTCTCCTCACTCCCTTAGAGAAGTCAATTGAACGGTTATGCCGGAAATGTTGCAAAAACAGTGGAGACCGACGCACACACCCAGCATGGGAAATGCCAGTACCCATGCTTAAACCTGGCAACTACTAAAGCAACTGAAATAAGCCCTTCAAATGGAAGGTGTCAAACAGCCTTAACCAGCGGTGATACCTCCAGTACCATCCACAATGTCCAAACCGTTTCTGAATCTCAGTCAGCTACGTTTTTTGGTCCAATAACACAAGTGGCGAGGATTTGACAGACCAAATATGGACGACATAAAAGAAAAATCTCTTCTCAGTAGTATATGGTCAGACTTCCAATGGCATTGAATGTTCCCCTGTCCTTGTGTTGTGAGGCACAGAAAATAGAGATGTCAGACCTACTTTCTTTATCCTTAGATTAATGGGGTTCAGGGTCACAAGTGATAGTTAGATCATCCCATCTGAATTCCTGTATAACCCTGGCTGTTAAATTTCACCCAGTTTACTAAGTACTGAGCTCCATGACTTGTGATTGACTAAGACCTGAGGCTGCAGTAGGATTTCTCATTATAGACTCAAGGTGAGAATGGACCATAAAGATCAGTGAGCCCCGGTCCACACTGCCAAGCCCGTTATTTTGAAATCTGTCCTGCTTTCCTCGGGGAGTAACACTCATTTTGAAATAGTTATTCCAAAATAATGGTTGTGTGGATGATCCACTTATAAATTCGACCTAAGGGGGTTTATTTCGGAATAATGCCCTAGTGTAGACCAGGGCAAGATTTGTCATGTGTAAATCATCCAGGACAGATGAGCATCCGGCTTCTATTAGAAAACCTCCAGCGAAGGAGCTTCCACAAACTCCTGAGGCATCTGTTCCATTGTCCGCCTGGTTTTACAGTGAAATTTTTCCTGAAATTTCACCTCAATCTGCTATTGTGCCATTGCCTGTTGTCTCGCGAGCTATGGGGAAAGAGAACAACTTCTTTCCATCCTTTTATGGCAGCCTTTCCCAATTTTCTTTTTCCAATTTAAGCATATACAGTTCCTTAAACATTTGTTCCTATTCCATCTCTTTGATCCTCTTTGTCTCACCTCTGGATCCTTCCCAGTTACTCTATCTCCTTCCTATTTATTGGTGAACCAAACTGGACACACTACTCCAGCTCAGGCCCAACCGTCTCTGAAAAGAGGAATATTAACACCTCCTGTGGCCTGTACCCTATGGCTGAGAATGAAAACTACAATTGCATCCAGGTTTTTGCACTGTTTCCTAACATTGTCAAATCTTTTTTTTAAAACGTTCCTTATTTTCAATTGTTTCATTGTTACACAGAACGAGCCTGTGTTTGCCTTCTCTTCAGACTGAGCTGTGTGAGTCATTGGTCAGTTGGTAACTCTGGTGTTTGCATCTCTCAGGCTACACTGTAGATGCCGTTGGAAATCTTCCTTCACTGCTAACACACTGGGAAACATTTCATTACCTCCGGTGATATCAGTGCCTCGGTTTGCTTCTTTCCCAGTGAAGAACAAAATAATTTCCTCCACACACATTCCTTTTCTGCAACATTAACAAGTTTCCTGTCTCCCTGTAAGAAATGGCCTAAAAGAATAGGACTTCTTTTGTTCTTAATATCTTACAATATCATTTAGAAATTTATGACTGTCCATCTGTTTGGGGGTCCATTTGTTCAAGAACTCCTCCTAAACGGTCTGAGCTAGGGCCATCAAATTTGGTAGGCAGCTTCCTCTTATCATGATTTAAAGCCAGGTTATGGTTTGATTGTGCCAGGAAAATGGGATGTGCCTGGAATGTGGTAGTTTCTCATAAAGTGGAAAAGGAGGGATCTAGTAGAAGGGACGGTTATACTGCAGAATGACCACAAGGGGCCAGGGATGGAGCTAGCTGAGAGTTTGTCTATTTGTTTTTGTGTCTGTTTGTCTGCGTGCCTGTCTGTCCTCCAGCCATGGGACATGTACCCCTTCCCCGGCTGTGCCTGCTGGAGCTGCAGTGGCCATGGACAGGCACCTTTCACCTGTCCCCAAACTGCTATAGTGAGAGAGGGCCAGGTGTGCCCTTTCTTCCTGGGGCAGCCTGAGTACTGAACCCTTCATCCACAGCCCCACCCCAAAGCAATGATTTAAATGAAGAAAAACAAAACTTATTTGAGTTAAGGACCCGAGCAATGTTGGGTAAATCTACAATGTAATAACTTCCTTTTTGTGATCCTTAACTGTGCCACAAATGATTTTTCCTAAATACTTTACCATCCCTTATCAATTTTCTTAACTTCCAACTTGTATTGCTGACTCTCTATTCTCTGTTCTCCCTATTCCTTACGTATTGCTGCCTTCCTCCTACTACCTGCCTTCACTTTTGACTCGAGACTGGATTTTTAGCCAACATTATCCACATTCTAGACAGCGGAATCATGATTTTTAGTCAATTCTTCTTCAAGAATTCCAATTTTCAGTCCCATCTTCCTTTCTGAATTTTTCCTCCCCATCAGACTGTTTGCTAATTTGCCTCGGCTTTGGGGAAATCGTCTCTTTTGAAGCACTGTCTATAGATATTGCTGCTTTGGAACAGTGCTCTGTGCATCCATTTGAATGGAAAACATGCCAGTTTTATTTTGCTCTCCTCTCTCTTATGGCCCATTCCCCATTGTCGTAGCCTGTCTTGGTAACCCCCTCTCTATCCACTACATCCCTTAGAGAGAGCATGTGAACAAAATGGAGAGCATTTCCACATCACAGTATTCTCATTTCAGTTTGTTAGGCTTCCACGCATTCTGTGAGGCCACTCCTGCGAATGAACAGGTTTTTCTGAGGGGAGGCAGGTCACTGTCACTCGGATTCTAGTTACGATGCTACACCCTGACGTGTCCTGGCAAAGGTTTGGGTTTCATTCTCTGCTCTCAGATTTTGAGCTGCCAGGTGAATAAGGAACTCCCTACAGCAAGAGTTCTCTAGCTTGGGTTTCATTGCAATATGGAACAATGATGGATAGCCAATATCCACATTCGTGTTTCCTCCTGGTGCCTGTTACGGTTTCCCAGACCACAACACAGCCTATGGCTGTGTCTACACTGGCCACTTATTCCGGAAAAGTAGCTGCTTTTCCGGAATAACTTGCCAGCTGTCTACACTGGCCCCTTGAATTTCCGGAAAAGCACTGATGATTTACTTTAAAATTGTCAGTGTTTTTCTGGAAAAACTATGCTGCTCCCGTTCAGGCAAAAGTCCTTTTCCAGAAAAACTGTTCCGGAAAAGGGCCAGTGTAGACAGCACAGTAGTCTTTTCCGCAAAAAAGCCCCTATCGCGAAAACGACGAAAAGCAGAAAAAGCGAGTCTAGATTGGCACGGACGCTTTTCCGGAAAAAGTGCTTTTCCGGAAAAGCATCCTGCCAATGTAGACGCCTTTTTCCGGAAATACTTATAATGGAAAACTGTTCCGTTTGAAGCATTTCTGGAAAAGGATGCCAGTGCAAATGTAGCCATAGGGATTGTTGACTTATGGAGCATCACCAAATATAGACAGGAATTGTTCAGAGTTCATTTCTCTAAATAATAAATTATTTTCAGTGTGTGCAGACTGATGAATTAACTTCATCCCTTAGAACAGCCTCCAACTCTTTATGTGGTGTCTCATATTTACATTGTCTCCCTATCCAGGAATTTGTACTGCCACCATCACTCTACACTCTGGGTGAATACAAGAAGTCCCAGGAACATACAGTACATGCAGAAGACACTATTTTGCCTCCATTGGACACCTTCTTCTCGACTCCATGTCAGATTCCAACACAAGTGACTTCACCAACCCCTCCACCTTCATCCTGCAGGGCATCCCTAGTCTCGAGAGGTCCTACGTCTGGATCTCTATCCCCTTTTTTGTCATGTACGCCATCGCTATCTTGGGGAACTTCACCATCCTGTTCATCGTGAAGAGGGAGCCGAGCCTCCATGTGCCCATGTACTATTTCCTCTGCATGATGGCCGTCACCGACCTGGTCCTGTCTAAATCCATCCTGCCCAAAATGCTGAGCATCTTCTGGTTCAATTCCAGGGAGATCGATTTCAGTGCCTGCCTCACCCAGATGTTTTTCATTCACTGCTTCACAGCGATAGGATCCGGGATCTTCGTGGCCATGGCTTTTGATCGCTACGTGGCCATTTGCCATCCCCTGCGACATTCCACCATCCTGACAAACCCAGTAGTGGCCAAGGTCGGTCTCACGGTGGTCCTACGTGGCAGCATTCTCACACTCCCACAACCCTTCCTGGCAAGGCAGTGGCCATATTGCAGAACCAACATTATCCCCCACTCGTACTGTGAACACATCACCCTGGTGAAGCTGGCCTGCGCCGACATCCGCATCAGTAGTTACTACGGCCTTTCTGTAGCTGTCTTGGTGACCAGTCTGGACATATTTTTCATTGCTCTGTCCTATGCTCTGATCCTCAGGGCCATCTTCAGCCTTCCCACCCAGGAGGCCCGGCTCAAGACTTTTGGGACCTGCGGCTCCCACCTCTGTGTCATTTTAGCTTCTTATAGCTCAGCTCTTTTTTCCTTCCTCACACAGCGATTTGGCAGAAATGTGCCCCTACATTTCCATATTCTCACTGCCAACATGTACCTCCTGGTTCCTCCCACACTAAACCCCATCATTTACGGTGTGAGGACCAAACAGATCCGGGGCAGGCTGCTCCAGCTCGTAACTCATAGAGGGATCTAAAGTGTTCTCCTCTTGCTCTGCCTCTCCAACTGATCACTTTGCAGAGCTGCTGTTGATATTGTTCCGGGCCCCTTTTCCTGACTCACCTACTGGACAGTCGTAAGACATTAAACCTTTTCCTGAACTTAATGTTCTGTTAGCATGAGAAACTGGGGAATCGCCTTACGTATAGCTAACCATTATGCTGCCTTTCTAATTGATTTTAACCGCACCACCCAAAATTCCACCTCTTTCCCCATCTAGGGCATGTCTACACTAAAAAAGTTTTTTGAAATAACTAAATTCAACTTAATAACTCCTGATTTTACAAAATCAAACAGAAAAGAAAGACTGTGCTGAACATGTCCCCAGGAAGGAAGCTACACAACCAAGCCTGTTATTCCGAAATAGCGGGCCACTTATTTTGAAATCTGTACTCCTGATTCCCTCGAGGAATAATGTTAATTTCAAAATAGTTATTTCAAAATAGCAGTAAGGTGGACAGGTCAGTGCCGCTATTTTGAAATAACTGCTCCTCAGAGTAATTCGAACAAATTATTCCCCAGTGCTTCTTGGGGCTGTAAGTTCGAGCTTCTTGGGGCTGCCTCGGACTAATTTCAAGGCTTCCCTGGAAAGTAGACACGTTTGTTTAATTTTGTTAAATCGGGTGTTATTATATTGTATTTACTCATTTTGAAATCATTTCCTAGTGTAGACATGGCCTCAGGGTGCCCTATAAGCCCTTTTTGGTCCTTCTTATAAAGAACACAGAAGAGGATTCCAGTCCAGCAGCCTCCTCTCTGCTTGCAGCCTACTCACTCCTTGCTCAATCAGTGCTCAGATCTCGCTGGGGGCAGAGGGCACCAGAAGGTTCTCCCAACATGCCGCTGTATATAGGCCATAACTTGTGGTTTCCAGGGCTGCAGCTGAAGCCCACTAGATCTTGTGCGACACCTATTTCACTATTCCTGTGTTTAGCACTAACGTTATTTGTGATCCAACAGTCGCCAAACTGATTACAGTGAGTGAAAGATCACGCCACCTGCTGACTGTGCTGCAAACAGGAACAACTGTACTTTTTAACTGGTGACTTTATAGCCTTCCGACGGCGGGCTCGCTGGGCCATAACCCCGGGTCGGGAGTTGCACGCTCGCGCCCCGAACTAAAGCTGTCACAGGAGAGTTTCTCCCGTCGACTGCATGCAGCGGAGACACCGTGATAACTCGAACTATTCATGTAGCTGGAGTTGCATTGCTTAGTACGTGCATCTGACCAAGTGGGTCTTTGCCCACGAAAGCTTATGCTCCAACACTTCAGTTAGTCTATAAGGTGCCACAGGACTCCTCGCCGCTTTTGCAGATTCAGACTAACACGGCTACCCCTCTGATATTTACATAATCCCCCCCAGAGTCTCCTGCCCCCTTCCTAACTAGATATCAGAGAAGCATTCATCATTTGGGGGAGTTCGTCCAGGATCCTGGGTCAAGACCTCTTGCAAAAACATCTTGAGTGACCAATTTAGTTGGGAAAACAAATGCGTTTATATGTTTTAGGACATCACAGTTCTTGGGCTTTGCCTTATGTTCTTGTGTTCGGCAACCAAGTGTTCCTTTTCTATGTCATTCACTTTTCCCTCAACATAACCCTCCTCCCAGTTTCTAAGGTCGAATGTGCAAGTTCTTTGGGCAGTGACTCAGCAGCTGAAGCATTGCCTGATGAGGAGGGGACAAGAGCCCCATGTTAACCATTGGAAAAGGTTGTCCCTTGCTATGCAAAACTCCTATCAAAACTTTTTTTTTGTGGGCGGGGGGAAATCCCAATATTTCGGGAAGAGAAGTTTGAACTAAAATACTCCTGGCGTGCGTCATACTGGATTCTGGCAAATGTAGTAAGATGAGGGTCTATAACCTAAAATCAGCAGGCCTGAAACCCAGTGAGCAAGACTTTGGCTCGATGAAACTGTGAGCAGGAAAGAGTCTTGGTTAAAGAGAAATAGTACGGGTGAGGTCAAGTATAAAGAACGCCACAGAGTGCCAGGCACAGACCGTAAAACACATCCCAGAGGGGTCATATCAGAACACTTCGTTAAGAATCATCTTGGTACCACCGACTCCCCACAAATAACATACCGGTACATACCCACCCAGGTCCAGAACTAGGTCTGAATTGATAGCATGACGGATAGTAATGGATACCTCCCTTGAGTTAGGTAAGGGGCGATAACTAGCTAACACAGGGTGACAACCTGGTACGTCATAAGAAAATAAGAACGACCATAATGGGTCAGACCAAAGGTCCATCTAGCCCAGGGTCCTGTCTGCCAACAGTGGCCAGCACCAGATGCCCCAGAGGGAGGGAACGCAACAGGTAATCCTCACGTAATCCCTCCTCTGTCACCCATTTCTGGACAAACAGAGGCTAGGAGTGATGAGTAACTTTTTTGTACCTGTGTAGAAAAGTGCACCCCAAAAGGTGGTCATCGACTGACTTTGGGGGGGGGCAGTAGACTCCAGAGTGGTTAGTTGGGTGTTAGTCCATCGTCACTGCATACATAGGTGTAGTGACTCAGCTGCAAGTCTGTTCGCTGACAACTATTATTGTACGTTGCTTGGCAATAAACCAGGCCAGAAGCTTTGGATCCTTATCTGATTTGTAGTCTCTGGGGGCCCTCTCAGAGTCTGTTGTGTTGATTTATTCTCATGGTTAACGCATTAGATCAGGGAGCGCGCGCACACATGCAGTTGAAAGTTTATCATCATTGACGGAACAGAAGACCCAACAGGAACCTATAGGCATGGATGACTGATGAGAGCAAGTTAAGATGTCTAGTACAGAGGCTCAGCATTGAAACTCACTAACACATTTGTAAGTGTAGGGGGCTCTGAGGACGGTTACTGTCAGTTCCTTAATTCCCACCAGCAAAGGGATGAGAAAGTTTCATGGAGGGTAGAGAGGCTGCTTCACAGACTGGTCCAACCAGGAGCAGTGACCGCCAAGAAGATCGATCAGACTAGACTGGCTCAGTTTACTCGAGAATCTCAATATCAGAACACAATTCTAGTCCATTTCTGATTCAGAGAAAGACGTAGTTCCCAGTTGACAAAAGAGGTCAGAGAGGAGGAGAGGCAGGCTGCCAATGAGTGTTGGGAATCCCAGCTGCTGGAATCAGCTAGCACAGCATTCCTGTGCATGTCCGGTCTACTGATGGGCAGCACGTGCCAGGATCTTGCCCAACAAGTGTAGATCCTGAAAGCTGCAAAGCACAATATAAGAACTAGGGGCCACCAAATTAAATTAATGGGCAGCAGGTTTGAAACAAATAAAAGGAAATTCTTCATACAGCGCATAGTTAATCTGTGGAACTCCTTGCCTGAGGAGGCTGTGAAGGCTAGGACTGTAACAGGGTTTAAAAGAGAACTAAATACATTCATGGAGGTTAAGTCCATAAATGGCTATTAGCCAGGAGGGGTAAGGAATGGTGTTCCTGGCCTCTGTTTGTCAGAGGGTGGAGATGGATTGCAAGAGAGAGATCTCTTGATCATTACCTGTTTGATTCACTCCTTCTGGGGCACCAGGCATTGGCCACTGTCAGCAGACAGGGTACTGGGCTGGATAGACCTTTGGTCTGACCCAGTATGGCCATTCTTATGTTCTTATGTTCTTATTGACAGAGCTGAGACTTCCCAACATACAGAACCCCTGGCTGTAGCGATGCAGAAGTCAGCATTCAGAGACACCATCCCACAGGGCAACTCCTCGTTCCACGAGGAGTAACAGTAGTTAGGATTAGAGAGCCTAATTCGAACTACCTACTCTGTGCCACGTGTAGCTGCGGGCACGGAGTCCGCACTAACGGGGATTTAAAAATGGCGGCGCCCGGCAAGATGCAAATGAAGCCTGGGATATTTAAATCCCGGGCTTCATTTGCAACTCCGGTTGCCTACATTAACCACCCTAGTTCGAACTAGGGTGGCAGTGTAGACATACCCTAATTTACTTGCTTCTGGCGACAGAGGCACGTTGTCTAGACATACCCTGAGAGTCCTTGGCCTGCGTGGCCTTGGCTTGGATGAACACCCCTACCCAGGCTATGTCTTAGTGCACCTGTAGTGCCCAGAGGACATTGCTGGAGTAAGAGAAGAGGTGGACACAGCTGCCTTAATACATGCCATCCCTTAAGGAAGCTCTCATGTGTCTGAGTTGATAGGGACCCGGTCCAGTCTCTGCAAAATGCTCATGATTACTGGAGATGACGGGCAAATACCTACCCCCCGCCATGAGCCATATGGTTTGTCTAAGCTACCAATGGGAGCACCGAGGTACTTGGATATGACCCCCTGAGTAGAGCCTGCAGAGATGGAGTAAGACATGCTTGTCCTGAGAACCCGGATAGCAATGGAGGACTGGCCATGACAGAGCAGCCGGCGGGAGGAGAGCTCCCCGAAGACGTGATCGTCCTCCCGGAACCATTGGGCACCTTGACTGTGGAGTACTCAGTGACTAGCACTCTGCAGTACACTAAGGGCTGAGGGGTGGCTCTCGGTGTTTAGAGCAACACCCCCGAAATTAACCATGGTTATGTCATCAGGATGTGTTTCAAAGTATATTATACAAGGTACTCATGGAATAGATAGGGTTGATTCTCCCTCATTCTCGCTGGCCACAGGGAGTGTGCCTTGGGGGCAAATGTCTGGGTGGGGCTAGCTCTGGAGTTGGAAACTGAGGCAGCAGCAGGTGATGCCACAAAGGAGCAGACACCAAGCTCAGGTTGGGAAGGGTGGGTGGAGTTCAAGTTTTCACAGGGTCCTCCCTCTGCCCTGTGGGTGCCCCCTCCTGAACAGGAAGAGAAGGGTGGGGGAGAGGGGTGGGGTCTATTCCTCCTAACCCCTCTTGCCAGGGCTCTAGATCCCTCCTGCACCTCCTCCCAGTATATACTTTCAGTATATACTTAAAAAACAATAAATGGTCTGGTAGCACTTTATAGACTAACAAAACATGCAGATGGAGAAGTGGGCTGTGCC